CCAGGTGTTTGCTGAGGTATTTTGACTGGTTGCTAGGGCATTGCTATGCAGTTGCTAAGGTCTTCTAGGTGGTTGATAGGCAGTTACTAAGGTGTTATGGCTGGTTGCTATGCATTGCTATGCAGTTGCTAAGGTGTTTGAGTGGTTGCTAGTGCCTTGTTATGCAGTTACTAAGGTGTTCTGGCTGGTTGCTAGGTATTGCTGTGCAGTTGCTAAGGTATTCTAGGGGTTTGCTAAGCAGTTTTGGAGATGTATCTATCTATAATTTAAATAGTACAGTATTTATACAGCATGCGTAACTGGCTCTTCTGCCTTTAGTTTCTGACAATTAAGAAATAATAATATTAATGAGAATCTAATGAGATTCACCTTTGAAAATAAGCATTATAAACAAACTCAAAAATAAAATATCCACAAAAACTTACAGTAATAAGAATTTGCAAGTGAAATGTGCTTAATGATCCTGAAAATATTGTCAACGTGTGAGAAAACAGTCCTAAATGGACAATGTTTTCATACAAAATATCATTTATTTTAAATTTGCAGCAAGAATCGCTCTTTAGGTTGGTACGTTTGTTTCTGAAGGGAATGCGCCCCCGATCTACATAAATGCATCTATGTTCGCTCAAATCATTCGTGATCCAGCTTCATCTACAGAAGAAGTGAGTATAATGTTTTGTAATGAATCTTTGCAAATTGCCTTTAATGTGCTGGTTAGCAAGTTTCACGATGAATGCGGCTAAAGTAAAGGCGGGCGTACATGGTGCGATTTTTGCTGTCGTACGAGCTCGCAGGCGATTTTTTTCTCTCGGGAGAAAATCGCAGATGCTCGCATGGTTGCAGCTTGTACCGTCTGAGAAGAATTACGGGCCGATCCGAGACGTTACGAGCACCTCCCGTCCTCCCGCTAATTAAAAAAAAAAACTGGATGCTGTCGGTTTAAATTCGTGGTGTATGTGCGGTTGAACCAGACGATTTGGCGATCCATCTGAAATTGACCAATCAGAAGATGACAAAAACCATATAGTCTATAATAATTTAATTTAATTATACAGTTCTATTTTTTATTTGTTATTCCGAATGTGCCAAATTTGCCGTTCAGCTTTATGAATGAATATGCCTGTGTATTTCCGGCAAAACGAGCAGAAATTCAGAAATGGCCTACTCCCTCGAGTTCAGGTCTGTTTCCTTTATTTCACTCTCCAGTCTCGCATGATCCAGTCAAACCTGCAGGGTCTCGTTCTCATGTATCAGAGACGCTTCAAGCAGTGGTGAGTTTATAACGGTTATTATGATATATCATCCTGTTGAATTGGTTCATGCATGTGTTTAAATATTTTTAATAATAAGACTCTGTTCTCTCTTTTAGAAAACACTACACATTAATTTTTAATATTTGTTCTATTTTTTTATTTGTTATTCCGAATGTGCCAAATTTGCCGTCCAGCTTTATGAATGAATATGCCTGTTGTATTTCCGGCAAAACGAGCAGAAATTCAGAAATGGCCTACTCCCTCGAGTTCAGGTCTGTTTCCTTTATTTCACTCTCCAGTCTCGCATGATCCAGTCAAACCTGCAGGGTCTCGTTCTCATGTATCAGAGACGCTTCAAGCAGTGGTGAGTTTATAACAGTTATTATGATATATCATCCTGTTGTTATGAATGGCGCGAAACGTAATCTTACGTCAGAGTTTGTAAAATCGTAGTACATTCGTGTCGTGTGTGACTGCCTTCGAACGATTTTCGGATAAACTCAATCGTGACATGTGCCACAGCTCACGACGTTCCGACCTTCAGAATCGCACCGTGTACGCCCGCCTTAAACAGTCTCTCAGAGAGCGGCTCGGAAGAGAGGGCATTTTATACGTTACAGACTTTTCATTAAGACCCTAAAAAATCATATCAACTTGTGGAAAATGGGCATCCTATGACCCCTTTAAAGCAAGGTTACTGTCATCAACTAAAACTATAACTAAACCCATAAAAAAGTTACTTCATAAATATTAACTGAAATTAAATATAATTTTTAAAAAAACCTAGTTGCCAAGGCAACACCTCATTTTAATTTAGTTTAACTTTATGTACTGTATAAAATAAAAACTAAATTACTAAAAATTACAAAACCACAAAATACTGAAACTGCTAAAACTAAAATGAAAACAAAAATTGAAAACATAAAAATATAAACCGATTTAAAATATTAATTAAAAAAATATATAACATTATCATAATCCTAAAATAACACTGGTTTAAATTTGACTTTAGTGACCGTCTTATATGACAAAAAAAAAAAAAATACAGCTATTGACATTGCAGGCTGTAATTACATTATTGACCAGCAGGTAGAGCCACAAATACTGCATTCAGTTTAGGCTAGAAAATGCTGTACCATATAATTTTTCATTTTAGGACTCAAATCCATGATCATGTTGCTATACAGGCATTTTAAGTGCAGCTTTTAACACAGTTTGTGTTAAACACAACTAAAGAAAAAAAAACGTCATTCTTCAACTGCATTCAAAGGCAGAACACCAGTTTATTGCAATGAAACGTTTGCAATAATGAAGAGGTTGAGGAAGAATGTACAGATTTTTTTTTTTTTTTCATTTTCAGCACTGTGAGTTTAAGAGGTAGAGATGTCAAAAGAAGAAAAAAAAAAACAGAACCAGAGGAAAACAACACACCAAAAGACACAATGAAACTACAGTGTTAAAACGGAGTCAAAGGCAATGTCACTTCATTTCCTATCAATATAACCTCTATTTCCTACTAACAAAAACATGTCAGTAAACACCAGCAGATATTAACGGCCTGGATTGCATCAAAGTGCTTTTTAAACTGTTGTTACAGTATCAAACACACATCATTAATTCACCAATAATGAAGAGGTTGAGGAAGAATGTACAGATTTTTTTTTTTTTTTCATTTTCAGCACTGTGAGTTTAAGAGGTAGAGATGTCAAAAGAAGAAAAAAAAAAACAGAACCAGAGGAAAACAACACACCAAAAGACACAATGAAACTACAGTGTTAAAACGGAGTCAAAGGCAATGTCACTTCATTTCCTATCAATATAACCTCTATTTCCTACTAACAAAAACATGTCAGTAAACACCAGCAGATATTAACGGCCTGGATTGCATCAAAATGCTTTTTTTAAACTGCTGTTACAGTATCAAACACATCATTAATTCACCGTAACATTCAGATACGTGCAGTGTCATGTAAGTTTCATTTTGCATATCCGAACTGCACAAATCTGGCATTTAATAGTCTTGATTATAATTATAAGACAGATTTTGTATATCAAAATTATATTTTAACAGCCACATTTTTCTGTGCTCAGCATTAACACGTACACTCTAAAAAAAAAATGCTGGGTTAAATATAACCCAGCGCTGGGTTAAAAAGGGACAAACAGCATTTTTTAGAGTGTAAACAGCACACAATTTTGATTTCAGACGTGAATGTAGGCATGACATTTTCCATGCAATGTTCATCAATATACAGTAGTCCCATCTCTGTTTTCTAGTAATTGTCATAAATGTGATTTATGCACGATCCTGATAGTCATTTCTGTTTAAAAGTCTCTGCAAAGTATCAGAAATATAATTACATTTCCCAATATACAGCAGGTTACATTAACTGTTAAAAACGGCATCGACCATTAAAATAAAATCAGTGTTAAAGGGGTCATATGATGCTGCTAAAAAGAACATTATTTTGTGTATTTGGTGTAATGAAATGTGTTTATGCGGTTTAAAGTTAAAAAAACACATTATTTTCCACATACTGTACATTATTGTTTCTCCTCTATGCCCCGCCTTTTTGAAACGCGTCGATTTTTACAAAACGCCCCACTGTATGTGGGGGCGTGTTCGAACGAGCCGTTTTAGGTAGGTGTGGCTAACTCTTAACTTTTATAAAGAATATCTCTTTGGATTTGAGACTTTAGTCTTTGCAACTTTACAGATCTTCTTTATGCACCAAGAGCTTGTAACACTCTAAAGAGAAAGGAAAAAATGAAATCGCATCATATGACCCCTTTAACTTTAGTGTCTTTGTAAAGTCACAGCACTTGAATCCACCAGCAGAGGGCGCTGGATCACTATAATCCATCACGCCCATCTGCAGAGGCTCATGGGAAGGGACTCATTCAGCACCAGTACATGCTAAAACGTCTTGTAATATATACAGTAAGTGCATGATTGTGTTCAGTTGTTGGGGGTGAGGAACAAAACTATAACAGTAGTATTATATAACTGTTCAGATCACGTACTGCGACCCTCATGCTTATTTGGACACTTAAACCTAAAGAAGTTTTAGTAAGTAGTCTCTTCTGCTCACCAAGGCTGCATTTATTTGATCTAAACTACAGTAAAAATTGTGAAATATTATTACAATTTAAAATAACTGTTTTGTATGTGAAACTATGTTAGAATGTAATTTATTCCTGTGATCAAAGCTGAATCTTCAGCATCATTACTCCAGTCTTCAGTGTCACACGATCCTTCAGAAATCATTCTAATATGCTGATTTGCTGCTCAAGAAACATTTATTATTATTATCAATGTTGAAAACAGTTGTGCTGCCGAATATTTGTGTGGAAAAACTATTCAAAAGTGTTACTTTTAAGCAAGGAAGCATTAAACTGATCAAAAGTGACAGTAAATACATTTATAATGTTAGAAAAGATTTACATTTCAAATGAATGCTGTGCTTTTGAACACTTGGAAAAATGAAGCCTGAAAAAATGCATCAACAAAAATATTAGACAGCAAAAACTGTTTGCAACATTGATAATAAGAACCATTATTGATAACTGAACACCAGTAATAACTGAGCAGCAAATCAGCATATTAGAATGATTTCTGAAGGATCGTGTGACACTGAAGACTGGAGTAATGATGCTGAAAATTCAGCTTTGCGTCACAGGAATAAATTACATTTTACAATATATTCACATAGAAAACAGTTAATTTAAATTGTAATAATAATTTCATAATTTTAACAGTTTTTTTTCTTTCATTTTGATCAAATAAATGCAGACTTGGTGAGACTTCAGGAAGGCTTGTTGATTGAGTTTGTGCATTTGCTATATAACAATTAATCTTTTCATACATTCACAAATAACAATCAATTAAAGTGCTGTGGTCAATCCATATTACATTTAACAGATTTTCCAAACTCAAATTAGCTCTAATTTCCTGCTGAAGTTCAACAGGAAGCTGGATTCATTCAATTCTTCAACAGACAATTGTATACAGTAGTTAAGACAACAAAAGAACAATAATGAAGGACTCCAGGCACGTTTTCTCCGATCACCACAGAAACAGCAGTAACTCTACCCAGAATGCCCTCCTGACAGGAAACAGAAGCAGAGGACGTCACTCGTGCATCACTTGCTGTTGTTGCAGTAGCTGCTGTAGTTACTGCAGGCCTTCTTCATGTCGGTGAGAAAGGCAGGGACGCCCGTCTGAGAGCAAAACTCATCCATCAGCACACTCACCTCATCACGGATTACACCAGAAATCTACAGCACTCACCTTCGCTGTCCAGTTCACCAGCCACGCCGGGATCATTCCTCCAGGATTGTCAAAGTAGTTCATAAACACTGCAACACGATTCAGAACAAACGCTGTTATTATTCATTCAGCTTCAGGACGCAATGGGAAGTTATCATCATTACAGATTTGATCCGAAAGATCACAATGAGTCTCTCAGAAAAACACCTTCACTTGCATCCAAAACCTATCTCAGATCAGTCTAAAGCAGGGGTATTCAACTAAAATTTAAAGAGGTCCAGTTAGAGAAAATTTCTTGAAGCAAAGGTCCGGAAGATCATAATGTCTAACTTGTTAGTGTGATATATATTTAAGTAGCCTAGTAGTTCTATCAACATTTGCATGTAATCAATACCTGACTGTCAAATCAAATGAATTAAGTACAATTCAAAAACTTTTGACAATATTTATTGTCATGTAACATAGAACTGAACATATATGTATGACTGTAGAAATATATATATATGTTCTCTCATTAACTAAATAAACGTACGGCTGCATTTCAAAATAAGATAAAATAAATAAAATGTGAAAATTGTGTATGTTCAAATAAAGTGCTTAACTTCAGAAAAATAAAATAAATGGAGGAAAAGCTTGAATTTCCCCTTTTCTGTTTTACATCTTGACTCAACAGTCTCAACCAATTTTACAGATAATAAATCTCAACACATCCTAACAATTGGAACAGTTTTGCCCCGTCAGGTTTTAAATCATATCATAACCTTCTGTTTTGGCTGTAGGTCCAGGTCCGGGTCCGTATGGGACGGCTTCTGGGTCCGGACCCGGACCGCGGTCCGCCTGTTAGTGACCTATGGTCTAAAGGATCATGGGAAAACAGTTTTTGGCACGCATTAACCACCTTTAATAAACCTCAAGAGGAATAATGGAGACACATTAGACCGTGTTAACCAGACAAACATAGAAACACGAGAAGATCCATCAAACAATATTTCTGCCCTCACTGAAAACTAAAATGCTGTTATATGTGTGTGTGTATATACACACATAATTGTGTACATAAGAATCAGATGGAGCAGGGTTTTTGGATCAGCGTAATAACACTGTTGATGGACACTGTGCAGCGTCTGGTTAACACCGTCTGAGCTCCAGTGAAGCCGAGCTCATCAGCGATCATGGGAAAACAGTTTTTGACACGCATTAACCACCTTTAATAAATCTCAAGAGGAATAATGGAGACACATTAGACTGTGTTAACCAGACAAACATAGAAACACGAGAAGATCCATCAAACAATATTTCTGCCCTCACTGAAAACTAAAATGCTGTTATATGTGTGTGTGTATATACACACATAATTGTGTACATAAGAATCAGATGGAGCAGGGTTTTTGGATCAGCGTAATAACACTGTTGATGGACACTGTGCAGCGTCTGGTTAACACCGTCTGAGCTCCAGTGAAGCCGAGCTCATCAGCTATGCTTGAGTGTGTTAGACGTGTGTTTGTACCTTTGGTGCCGCCAGCGCCGTCGCTCTCCATGGCCAGACTCTGTTTGTAGTCTTTGACCCGGATCACACCCTTCTTCTCTGGACACTGAGACACAGCCGAGCTCTTGGCTAAAACCACACAGATCTTCCGTCCTCCCACGTCCAGATCCCGGCGCTCCCGCACATACACATACTGAAGAGAGTTAAGAGCTCACCCACAGACAAATACAGCCATGCCTTTATCCATTATTAATATACTTAAAGAAATACTACAAGAAACACATTTGTGTTTCTGATGAAGGGGAACCTCAGCATTATTGCCGGAGACAAAAGAGAAAGCAAGCTGTTATGATTACTACTTTTGTATTTGAGGCTGATTTAAGCTTGTACAGGGATGCCATAATTCCTCAATGAATTGAAAATATATTTAAATGAACTGAAATTAATCTTGAAAGAACAATTCGTTTTTATATTGTTAAAATATAAAATATATTTAAAATGTAATTTCATCTGACATACTGTAAATGTAATGTTTTTATATTGTTAAAATGCTGCATATTGTTTTTAGAAAATGCGTATATTGTTTTCCCATCTATAATAATATAATATACATTTACAATAATATTTATTTCCAATAAATATATTAATTGGTATAGATTTATTTATTAGACTTATTTGAATGAAATATTATTATAAATGGAGAGATGTTATTTTCAGACACTGGTCAGAGTTTACATGAATCTGTCTATTCCCGCACACACACTGTATTTGTCGGAGCATGAAGTGTGTTTGTAGGATACATCTCTGTTGGACAGAGGTAATGGATATTTCACTTCCCAGTATATGGCTTTCTGTCCGCCGTAGTCCTTCTCGTGCAGCTCTGAGGACGAGACACACACACACACACACACACACACGTGAAAGATGAGACAGTGATGGGTGATACATCACAATATAATTACATTTTCAAGAAATAAAATATTAAAAATTCTTTATATATGAATAAAATAACCTATAGAACAAAGAAAATCCCTGATTTGGATCAAATATTTTACAAATTAAATCTACACTACAAAGGGGGAAAAGTGTGTCTACCAGTGTGGTTGAATCTTAATGAAAGCTTATTAAATGTCATTTTAGGGACACTGTGTGCTTTCAGATTTGTGGCAAGAGTTCAGGGAGGATCCTTTTCTCTTCCAGCGTGACACAGAGCGACGTCCATATAGTCTGTGAGGAAGAACTTGGTTGACCTGTATTAAACCCAGACCTGAACCTCTACTGAACTCGTACTCTTCTGGGAGCAATTCCCTCCCAAAGTCCAGGTCCAACATCCAACATCTAAACATCTTCCCAGAAGACTGGAGGCTATCAGGGAGGACAAACACTTCACATCGGTGCAAAAACAGCTTCATATTATGAAACGCTTGAGTTCAAAACAAACATATATTATAAAACAGACTGGATTGCCAGGTTGGCATCAAATCTTTCAAAGAAATTAGATAAGTAAACTATATACACAATCGAGCATAATTGTGAGTTACTATAGTTAACTAAAACTTAAAACTTTCCATCAATCGAAATACAATACATTTAAAGGGGTCATATGATGCGATTTCAATTTTTCCTTTCTCTTTGAAGTGTTACAAGCTCTTGGTGCATAAAGAAGATCTGTAAAGTTGCAAAGACTAAACTCTTAAATCCAAGAGTCAGCCACACCTACCTAAAACGGCTCGTTCTAACACACCCCACATGTCTACGTCACGATGTGAGAAGATTTGCATAACGCCGCCCAAATGTTCACACAAAGAAAGAAGGCGTAACTTTTATTCTC